ATCAAACTTCGCGAGGAAGCAGCTGCTAATGAGCTTTCTGGAAGCACCACTCCGTCAATCCTTGGCTCCACTTCAACCCTAGACATCCAGCCCTCTCGCCGCACTCGACAGCGGGACATCTGCGACATGGTGGATCACTCTGCACGCGCTCGACTGGACTACCTATGGGCCGCTGCAGTGGCTGATAACTATTGGGCGTTCCACACGTCCAAGTCGCCAGCCGTGCAGAACTTCGTGGATGCGGCTGTTGCCTTCGGGAAACAATACACCCTCCCATCCCCCTTAAGGGTTTCTGGTGTTTTCCTTCAAAAACTGGTAGCGGATACCGAGGACCTTGTAAGGCCCCTGAAGGAGAGTTGGAACACTAGCGGCTGCACCATCTCCGTGGACGGCTGGACCTGCATGAAGAGCCGTGGGCTCGTGTGTGTCATAGCCCACAATGACACGGGGCCTGTCATCGTGAAGACCGTGGACTCCAAGACCGCGAAGAAGACGGGGGAGTACTTGGCCGGCCTCATCCGGACCTCAATCGCCGAGGTTGGAGGCAAGAAGGTGGTGCAGGTGGTCATGGACAATGCGTCCAACAACCGTAGGGCGGCCGACATCCTCCAGGACGGTTTTCCTGCAGTGTTTTTCAACAACTGTGCGGCGCACGTCCTGGACCTGATGCTCCACGACATCGGGAGGGTCCGTGCTGTGCGGCGAGTGCTCAACCAGGTGCATAGGGTGGTTATGATCGTCAAGGGAAGCGCGTCTGCCGTCACGCTCTTCCACGAGTTGTTTAGCACTTTGTCCTTGGTGCGGCCCGGTGCAACACGCTTCGGCACGCAAGTTATCATGCTTGCCCGCTTCCTGGAAGTAAAGAAAGCGCTCAAGGAGATGATCATCAGTGAGGAGTGGGAGTTGGTGGCGGTGGCGCAGTCTGAGGAGGGGCGAGCTGTCCGCCACCTCCTCTTGGATGAGGTCTTTTGGGAGTGCGCGACAGCGGTCCTCCGCCTCATGACACCCGTGTATGAAGTGCTGCGGGTGGTTGACACCCGTGCTCTAGTCATGGGCCAGATCTATGGCCTCATGCTAGATGCCACGGTGAAGACAAACAATGCGGCAGAGGCGGCAGGTAAGCTGTGAATTGCCGCACGTTCTGGCTATTGTATACCCTTCCCGCCAATTGTGCTCACCTCGTGCTCTCCGGTTCTCCCCACTGGGCAGCCAAAATGATGATGAAACGCACCGCTCTCTTGCCGGCCAAAGACAAGCCGGCCTTTCTGGCCGCCATCAAGGCTATCATAGCAAGGAGGTGGGACTCCCAGCTCCACAATCCACTCCATGCTATGGGGTGGCTTCTGAACCCGCGCAATCAGTACGGCAAAGAGGTGAAGAACGATCCCGAGGTAAGGCTTGGGGCGGAAGCGGTGATCCAGGCCCGTGGGGAAGACGTCGCACAACGCACGCTGCTGTTGGTGCAGTTGACGCAGTTTCATAAAGGAGAGGGGCTTATAGGGTCCGATGATGCCCGTTGGGCAGCAACGGTGTTGGTGGCGAGTGGGCGCTTGACGGAGGCAGAGTGGTGGCTGATGTATGGGGGGGAATTGCGAGCGCTCATGGGGATGGCTGTGACGGTGCTGTCACAGCCAGTCACGTCTTCTGAGGTCGAACGCTACTGGTCCGCCATTGCACGGGTGCAGAGGCGGGACCGTAACCGCCTCAGTGCCAACAAGATGATGGACGTGACTGAGGTGGCGTTCGCCAGGAGGGCCAGGGATGCTTTCGATAGGAAATCACGCCAGAGGGAGAAGCTTTATGCCAATCTGGCCAACGGCACCCTCCAGCAAGGGAGTGCCGTGGAACCGGCAGCAGCAGAGGAAGAGGAAGTGGGGGACGACGAGGAGGAGGGAGAGGGGAATGAGCAGCTATGCACCATTGATTGGGACCTATTCGGGAACATTGGGAAGCGGAAGAAGAAGGGGCCAAAGACCGCTAAAAGGAAGAGAAACGAGAAGGCCAAGAAGCCTACCAAGAGAAAGAGGAAGGCAACATCCGTGCGAGAGGAAGAGGGTGAGGAGGAGGAGGCGGCGGATAGCAGTGGAGGGGAGGAGGAGGACGTGCCCACCAAGGCTCGAAATGGCGCGGATCCTTGGGACATTAGTGACGGGTCTAGTGGGGAGGAAGAGGAGGAGGCGGATGAGGATGAAGAGGAGGAGGAGGATGAGTAGAGAAGAGAGAAGGTTACAAGTTGGAGGAGCAGAGAGAGATAGAGAAGGATACGATAGGGTAGGAGGTGTAAAGTAAAGAGTAATGGACGGTACGGTAGTAGTGGGAATGGTCGAGTAGTGTTGAAACCATCTGTTCTGTTGTTATGCTATGCTAATGTAGTGTGTACCTTTCAGAGCATTGCTACGGGAAAAAAAAAAAAAAAAAAAAAAAAAAAAAAAAAAAAACCAGAAAAACAGTCTATCAAAAATACGGCGTATTTTTGAATTTCTTGCCGTAAAAAACGACCGTATTATACGGACCGTATAATACGGTAGCCCTAATTTTGATCCTTGCGTGGTTCAAACACAGAGAATCACTGTCTTTGGAAAGCTGCCCACCTTGATTTGTGCCGGCCCTGCCCTGGCTCAGCCCTTGATCGTACCTAACTTGTGCTACTACAATAGCTTTTGTTGCACACTCTGCGAAGGTTTCTGACAAAGAAAAACAATACAATGGATTATTTACAGGAAAGTAAGAGCAGTGAGCTTTGTGATTGCGGAGGGCAAAGATCCTGAGAGCAAGTTGGAGTTGAGAGAGCTGTGGTGATGATGTGGCGGGTCACGGGTGGACGCACGGAAAGAAAATATGAGTTCATTGGCGTGTTTGCAGGACACGATAGGGAAGGGAATGGGGCCAGTGACGAGAAGGAAATGTAGAGGTCAAAAAGGTGACCAATTCGAGAGAGACGAGATAGTAGGTTGGGGGGGAGGGATCACACATTATCAAAGGCTTGCTACGACGGACGAGCCACGGGCCGAGTCAGCCCGGCCCGTCGAGTGGAGACTCCGGCTTGGCTTGTCAGCCCACCGGCTTTCCATGGCCCAAAAACGAGCCAGCTTAGCCCAGTCTTATGCTCGTGTGGCAGAAAGGAGCCTTACAGGGATGCCAGAGATAGTAGAGAGCCAATCTCCACAGGAATTGAACCCGTGAGCTGATTACTCCCGAGGGACCTGCCATTGCGTACGAATGCAAGAAGGAAGAACCAGACCAGCACTCTAGGATGATGATGCACCAGTATGCAAAGTGGGATGCTGCTGGTGGGCTTTTTGAAGGAAAATGTTTCATGAAACTAGGGCAGTAAGAAGAACAGAGAGATCGTGGGGCTAACCAAAGTAAGGAGAATTCAACTGAGCACCACATTTGAAGTACAGCAACCCATCCATTCAAAACAATGGAAAAAGGGGGCACTCCACGAATGACTTCATTGCATGGACACACGTATGTATCAAAGTCAACCCCTTGTGTTCTTAGCTCGCGCTCATCATGAGAAAAGCTCTCCTGTGAGAGGAAATTGACAGCACTAGACAAGAGGGCAACTGACAGGCGAGAAACTTGGGTGAGTGTGCTGATGGTAGCAGGAATGCTGCCAGACAGTTGGTTGCTTGAAACATCTCTGAGTGGAAAAAGAATGCCAAAAATATAAGTATCACTGAGGTTATAGCGTCTAGACGCTAGACGCAGGACGCTCCCTGTGTCTTCTGCAACTTAGACTCGGGATACCAGAGAAGACAAGACAGAAGAGAGGCGGGACAGCAATGAGGTTGGGGAAGACCAAACAAAGGGTGAATAGCAAAAGAAGATGGTCGTCCCTTGGAGACGGACGAGACGAGATAGGCTGGTGAAGAAAAACCAGAAAAACAGTCTATCAAAAATACGGCATATTTTTGAATTTCTTGCCATAAAAAACGACCGTATTATACGGACCGTATAATACGCTAGCCATAATTTTGATCCTTGGTAGGGAGTACACATTACCATAGGTTTGAGCTGACGGATTAGCTTGTCGGATCGGCTCGTCCGCAGGGCGAGCTGAGCCAAGAATCCTGCTCCGCTGGCTCGGCCGCTAGGTCGTCAAGACCCAGCTCGATGAGTAGGTCAGTCAGATCATCGCCGAGCTTTCACTGGTTGTCCATGTTGTGCAGCAAGTATGTCCCAGAGGGTGAATTCTCACCTTTGGTCTTAGAGGTTTTGAGTTCAATTCTCAGTAGCTACACTTTCCTTCTCATTATGCTCCACATTACATGTCCAAACTCCACCACTCTCCACCACAGTGCGTGTGGTCACAGTTGGCATTGGCACCTGTCCACTCATCCCACACTCACCTTGCTAGCCTCTATGGTGTGTCATATGCTGTCATGTGGGCTGTTGTTCCAGCCTGGCCCACATGTGCAACTAGGGATGAGCAAGATCCCGAACGCTTGTTCGGTTCGCCTCGAACGGCTTTTTTTTTTTGCTAAATTGTTCGGGCCGAACATGTTCGGTGTTCGGACGAACATGTTCGACGTTCGGCTTTGGATTTCGCCTCTCCAAGCCGAACACGAACATGTTCGTGTTCGGCTGGGATTCGACGCGAACACTTTTGGTGTTCGCGTCAAAATTGGCCGCGACCAGATTTAGGTCGCGGCCAATTTTTGTTTGAGCTCATTTCGTGAGCTCAAACTCAGGAGTTGTTTAGGCTTTAGCGTTCCCTCACACAGCCGCCCTAGCCTCCTTGTTCTAGGTGCAAGCAAGTGCACGTTAATACTTGGAGTGTAAACGAACATTACATAGATAGATCTATGCATAGGGTTTAACGTAGTGTAGGGAGTTTAGGGTTACTATTAAGGTTCAGCGAGCATCTCCGCAAAGGGCTCAAGTAGGGCGTATCCTTTGCTGTAGGATTCGGATCGGGCATTAGGAACGTGCGGCACCATCCAACGCTAACGTTGCCTTAGGGGATTTTAGGGTTTAGGGTCGAGGGCGGAGTGATGGCTTCCAGGGGTGGTGGATCCATAGGCCGAGGTGCAGGCAGGGCTCAGAGCAGCGCACCGGGATCTCCATCACGACCTTTGCAGGGGCGAGTAGGGGATGGACCGGGTGGAGCCGGCGCGATCTTCGTTGGGGGGTTGCTTACTGTACCGGCGCCGAGCTCTCGTCGCTCTTTCCGTTACGACGGCCCTCGGCCCCCTCCTTCGAGGCAGACGCCGACGCAGCCGGAGAGCGGCAGTGAGGAGAAGGATGAGGAGGAGGATGGTGAGGGCGAGAAGGAGGAGGACACTGAGGGGAGCGGGGATGACAGCGAGGCGGCGTGGGACCCAGATACGCATGGCGGTGGGGAGGGGGGAGATGATGATGATGAAGACCACGAGATGGATGGGTTGGAGCCAGAGGGGCGGGAGGAGGAGGTGGGAGAGGGTGGTGGAAGGGCGGCGACAGAGGCGGGATCACAGCATGTGCGTGAAGGGGGAGGGAGCGTGGGGGTTAAGGTGGGGGGGGGAAAGGCCGTGACAATTAGGGAGCCGAGGCAGAGGAAGAAAGCGAACAAGTTGAGAGAGCGAGCGTATCCCTGCACGTTCACTGGGGAGCCCTTGGGCGAGGGTGTGATCGCTCCCGAGTTCCTAGACGAGGACGGAGGGTCCGAGAGTAGTAAGGGGACCGGCAAGGGTAATAGGAAGCGGGGTTGGCAAGTTATGATGTTCGGACCGTTAGGGGCAGACGATAAGCGTCAGTGCAAGATTTGCACAGACAGGATTTCGTGGAAGCAATCCACAACAACCCCGGGCGAGCGGCACTTTGCGAGCTTCCACACTACGCACATGCATGTGTGGCATCACCGTTACCACACCCCGTTCGTTCACTTGCCAGGGGAGACGTTTCCCCGAGGGGGCTACAAGGGAGTGCCGGATGGCTACGTCTATCAGTGGCCACATGCCAAGACTTGGCCGCAGCTCGCCAAGGGGAAAGCGATGGCGACTGGTGGAGGTGATGGGTCAGGAGGGATCGAGCGGTGGATGACAACCAAACTAACCTCGGTGCAGCTACGACAGGCGATCACGAAGCTGGTGGTCAGCTGCGACCTCCCCTTCCGCATCGTCGAGGCCGAGGCTGTAAGTGCCCCATCCCATCCCATGCATGATTGGGCAAGTATGTGGTTAGTGGACGTATCTGTCCCTTTGTGTTTTGACTGTTTACGTGTGGCCCAGTGCAGTGCTATATTATTTTCATCCCATCCCCTTGACGTGTACTCCCCTCCCCCCCCCCTTGTCTCTTCCCCTCTCCAGTTTCGTGAGCTACTCATCCTGTTAAACCGCAACTGCGCGCAGAAAAACTTCATCCCTTCGCGCTAGACGGTTTCCCGCGACACAGTGGTCTATGCGGCTGCCGCTCTTCAGTCAGCCATCGCGGAGATGCTGGCGAAGGAGGGGGAGCTGGGGTGCAGGGTGTCGTTCACCATCGACATGTGGACGTCGCCCAACAACAGGGCGTGGCTAGTGGTAACGGGTCACTGGATCGACGAGAATTACCAGCTGCGCACAATGGTGTTTGAATTCCGCGAGATTCACGGGCGTCACACGGGCAAGCAGATGGCGAGGGTGGTTGAGGAGACGGTGGTGCAGTGGGGGTTGGAGACGCGTTGTCTTGGGTTCACCTCTGACAACGCCTCCAGCAACACTGCCGCTTTCAGGTGGATGTCGGAGGAGGGTGTGAAGTAAGGAAAGCAGGAATGAATGAACTAGCAGTGAAATGAGTACAAGTAGGAAACCCTAGAATTGTGTACCCCCTATAGGCTAACCCACTGTAGCCTACACAAGCAGAACATATATAATGTTTGACACACCCCCATAGGCAAAGTGGGGGAGAACAAGGGGTCACAAGACCAGTCAAGCAAAGCAACGCAAGCTCAGGGTGGATCACAAAGTCACCACACAGTCCGAGCACAAGAGCAGGGCCAGAGGCCAGTTCACATGCAGGAGTACAGACATATATATAAAACTAGACAAGCAAGAGCAGGTATATATATATGTCACAGTACAAGTGAAGTCAAGAGGAGAGCAAGTGAGGCAAGACAGGCACAAGACCCAGCTGGGTGCAAAAGCGCTGATGGTCACAAGGCGCGAGTGCCTTGGTGAACACATCAGCAGTGTTGGCCTCAGAGGCCACGTACGCAAGTCGCAACTGACCACGCTGCTGCAGCTCACGAGCAAGGAAGTAGCGGAAAGCAATGTGCTTCGTTCTGTGCTCCAAGCGCTGCTCTCGACACAAGGCCAGCATGGCCTTGTTGTCTACGTACAGCACTGGAGGAGAACGAGGCGGCTCTCCAAGGTCAGTCAGCAGGTAGGTGAGCCAGCGAAGCTCCTGTGCAGCCATGGCCCCGGCGTAGATCTCAGCCTCACAACTGGAGCCGAGAACCGAAGACGAGCGAGTAGACCGCCACGAGACAGAGCCGGAACCAAGGCTGAAGGTGTAACCCTGTGACGACCGCTGCGTAGCCTGGTCGTCAGCCCAAGAAGCGTCCGCGTGGCCGGTAAGGACCACTGGACTCCGCCCTCCAAGCACTAGCCCCATGCCCGACGTACTGGACAGGTAGCGCAATACCCTCTTCGCTGCAGCCATGTGCTCCGGTCTGTGTCTCCCAGGAGCAACATAGCGTGCAAGAATGCTCAGAGGGTATGCAAGGTCAGGTCGTGTGCAGGTCATCAGGTACATGAGGCAGCCAACAAGCTCTGCATACGGACCACTCGACTCTACGGACTCATCCGAAGGCAGAGCTGAGAGTGAGTGGCGAGTAGGCAGAGGAGTGGCCTGAGGCGAGGAGTACGTGAAGCCGAAGCGCTGAAGGACCTGCTGCACCATGTGTGACTGAGTCAAGGTAATGGTGCGGCGTGCTCTGTCCCGAGTGATCTGCAAGCCAAGGTAGCTGCGCAGTTCACCCAGGTCTGTGCACGTGTGTCTCTTCTGCAGCTCGGACTTCAGGTGGGCGAGTCCAGCAGTGTCAGCTGTGGCAAAGACCAAGTCGTCGACGTACACGAGGATGTAGAACGGCGGCAGGGAAGTGTCGGTACGAAGAAACAGCGACGGGTCAGCAGTAGAAGGAGCAAACCCAAGAGCCGCAAGCGTAGTCCTCAGTGTGTCGTGCCACTCACGCGGTGCCTGGCGGAGACCGTAGACTGGCCGTCGGAGGCTCCACTGGGTGCCAGGAGGGAAAGTCCCAGTGAAGCCAGGTGGACGGCGCAGCCAGATCTCCTCGTGCAGGCTACCCTGCAAGAACGCAGTGCTGAAGTCGAGAGAGTGAAGCTTGTAGTCGCGCTGAGCGGCTATGTGCAGCAGCACCCGAAGAGTAGTCATCTTCGGGGTGGGAGAGAAGGTCTGAAAGTAGTCAACTCCCTGCCGCTGACTGAAGCCACGAGCAACGTACCGTGCCTTGAAGACAGGTGGAGAGCCCGGCGGCCGCTTCACCCTGAAGATCCACATGCCACTGACGATGTTCGCCCCAGGAGGGGGAACCGCGTCAACGTAGGTGCCTGTGGACTTCCAGGAAGCCATCTCTGCATCCATAGCTGCCTGCCACTGAGAGGAGTAGGGACCCTCTACGGCCTCCGCGTAAGAACGCGGAGTCGGGATGTCTAGTGCATCCGGGTCTCCCTCAGGGGCAAGCAGTACAGACGCGAGATGAGGTGAAGCAGTCGCTAGACACTGTAACTCCTCCTGCCTGTCCTCTAGGACGTTCGTGCCAAGAGCACACTCACCCCCGACGGACGGAGGACAGACAGACGCAGACTCAGCAACAAGACTAGCAGCGTAGTCGAGACGACAGCGAGCAGCAAAGTCGACGAGCTCAGCGACTAGAGCAGACGCAGCAGTGGACTCAAAAGAGGGGTCAGTGACAACAGTAGCAAGCAGACGCGTGACAGTAGGACTGGCAGCACGAAGAGAGTCCGACTCAGGGTCGGCAAGCGCAGGAAGAGAGGACTCAGGAGGAGAAGGCAAAGGGGCACGCAGAGGAGCAGTGGACGGACGCAAAGACATCCGGTGCGTGCCAGGGACAGGAGGAGGACGCTGACGCGAACTGCGACCACTAGCGCGAGCACTGCGAACAGGCGACGCGGGACGAGACGCAGGCTCACGACGCTCAGCAAGAACTCCAGTAGGACCAGTGTAAGGAGAGGGAGCAGGCAGTGGAGAGGAAGGCTCCAGCAGGGACTGCGACTGGACAGGCGATGGACCCTCTACTGGAGGAGAAAGACCAAGAACCTGCTGCAGGAGCGGAACGAAGTACGGCCGAGGCCGCGCGGCAGCTCCAGACGCAGCAGGGACAGCACCAGCACCCTCAGCGACAGCACCAGCGCCACCCATACCTCCAGCGGCAGGACCAACAGCAGTAGGCTCAGCACCAGCGCCCTCAGCAGCTCCAGCACCAGGAGGACCCGCAGGTCCAGCAGCTCCGGGACCGGCAGCACCCGCACCCTCGACGGTCGAAGAAGCTCCAGCTCCAGCTCCAGCAGCACCTCCAGACTCAGCAGCACGCCTCCAGCGGCGAGCGAACCACTCGCGCAGCTCCTGTGGAGAGAGGGGCTCCTGGCGAGACGCAGCAGCAGGAGAAACCCCAGGCTCAGCAGCTCCAGACGCAGCACCCCCAGGCTCAGCAGCTCCCAGCTCAGCACCCCCAGGCTCAGCAGCTCCCGACCCAGCACCCCCAGACCCAGCACCTCCAGGCACAGCACCCCCCGGCGCAGCACCCCCAGGCTCCGCACCCTCCGCAGTAGCACCCTCAGGCCCAGCACCCCCAGCAGTAGCACCCCCAGGCTCAGCACCCCCGCGCACAGCACCCCCAGAGTCAGCACCTCCAGGCTCAGCACCCGCAGCAGCACCAGAGTCACCAGTAACCTCGACCGGGTCAACGGCGTCTACCTGGGACACACCTGAGGGGGCAGGAACCTGAGGGGGAAGGGGGTCTACCGGGGGGGGAACCGGCACAAGGAAGTCCGGGGGAGGGGGGAGGGAAGGAGTGCGGTAGGGGAAGAGACGGTAGAAGGGGACTGACTCGTCAAACGTGACGTCCTGGGAGGACAGAACACGACGAGAGGAGGGGTGGTAAAACTGCCACCCTGGGGCGTCAGTGGGTGACAGCGAGCAGCAAAGTCGACGAGCTCAGCGACTAGAGCAGACGCAGCAGTGGACTCAAAAGAGGGGTCAGTGACGTCAGTAGCAAGCAGACGCGTGACAGTAGGACTGGCAGCACGAAGGGAGTCCGACTCAGGGTCGGCAAGCGCAGGAAGAGAGGACTCAGGAGGAGAAGGCAAAGGGGCACGCAGAGGAGCAGTGGACGGACGCAAAGACATCCGGTGCGTGCCAGGGACAGGAGGAGGACGCTGACGCGAACTGCGACCACTAGCGCGAGCAGCACGAACAGGCGACGCGGGACGAGACGCAGGCTCACGACGCTCAGCAGGACCTCCAGTAGGACCAGTGTAAGGAGAGGGAGCAGGCAGCGGAGAGGAAGGCTCCAGCAGGGACTGCGACTGGACAGGCGGTGGACCCTCTACCGGAGGAGAAAGACCAAGAACCTGCTGCAGGAGCGGAACGAAGTACGGCCGAGGCCGCGCAGCAGCTCCAGACGCAGCAGGGACAGCACCAGCACCCTCAGCGACAACACCAGCGCCACCCACACCTCCAGCGGCAGGACCAACGGAAGTAGGCTCAGCACCAGCGCCCGCAGCAGCTCCAGCTCCAGGAGGACCCGCAGGTCCAGCAGCTCCGGGACCGGCAGCACCCGCACCCTCGACGGTCGAAGAAGCTCCAGCTCCAGCTCCAGCAGCACCTCCAGACTCAGCAGCACGCCTCCAGCGGCGAGCGAACCACTCACACAGCTCCTGTGGAGAGAGGGGCTCCCGGCGAGACGCAGCAGCAGGAGAAACCCCAGGCTCAGCAGCTCCAGACGCAGCACCCCCAGGCTCAGCAGCTCCCAGCTCAGCACCCCCAGGCTCAGCAGCTCCCGACCCAGCACCCCCAGACCCAGCACCCTCAGGCCCAGCACCCCCAGCAGTAGCACCCCCAGGCTCAGCACCCCCGCGCACAGTACCCCCAGAGTCAGCACCCCCAGGCTCAGCACCCGCAGCAGCACCAGAGTCACCAGTAACCTCGACCGGGTCAACGGCGTCTACCTGGGACACACCTGAGGGGGCAGGAACCTGAGGGGGGAGGGGGTCTACCGGGGGGGGAACCGGCACAAGGAAGTCCGGGGGAGGGGGGAGGGAAGGAGTGCGGTAGGGGAAGAGACGGTAGAAGGGGACTGACTCGTCGAACGTGACGTCCTGGGAGGACAGAACACGACGAGAGGAGGGGTGGTAAAACTGCCACCCTGGGGCGTCAGTGGGGAAGCCAAGGAAGACACAGGGAGCAGCACGAGGGGACAGCTTGTCCGCAGACAAGTCGCGGACAAACGCCCGAGATCCCCAGACACGGAACACAGACGCATCGCCAACCTTCCCCGTCCACAGCAAGGCTGGGGACATCGCAGGCCGAGAGACCCGGGGGTGAAGGTTGAGCTGATGCGCCGCGTACCTCACTGCAAACGGCCACAGAAAATGGGGGGCAGCCGCATGCATCATGGACGTACGAGCGACATCCATGACCATGCCAATGCGGCGCTCAGCAATCCCATTTTGCTGTGGTGAGTCCGGAAGCGTGAAGGTCTTGCGGATCCCCCGTGCAC